GCCGAACTCAATGGGTCGACAGACGCGCGGCCAACTTACAAGGCAACTGCCTGATCTGGCGTCGCGTCGGCCATGCCAGAGGAAGTCACAGATGATCCGCGTGATCTTCTTGAGGATGGGCGGGTATGGCAGAGAGCACGTGGCGCACGAGCGCAAGGCGCTCGCCACGGGTCAGGAGTGCCGCTTTCCAAGTGGCCAGTTTCCGCGTAATCTTGTCCACGAGCGGCAGCAAGGACGAGGAGGGTGTCTTGCGCACGGACAATGGCAGGCCCAGGTAAACCACGGGGAAGCTGGAAACTGCGCACGCGAGCGTGGACTCGATGATCGAAGGCACCTCCTCGTCGCATCGAATGGGTGTGGCCGAGCACTTGAGGAAGTTCGTGCGGAGACCCGAGGCCTCCCCGAAGATCCGGAGCAGCTCGCGGATGGTGGCGAGCTCCGTGGTGGTCGGGTGGCAGAAGACGACCACGTCGTCAACGTACAGAGAGATGCTGGAAGCGGCGTGGCGGGTGGTTAGCCGTTGTAGCATTCCTGCGCTGACCGCATTTTTCAGTGTTAGTGTGTGCATTTGTGAGTTATTCCAAAGGATGATTTTGAGATTTAGTGGACAAAATAACTGCCATTTGATTCACTTCACATGATGCACCATGAAGAATTCAAATGATGGTTTTAGGGCATTATTTCGCAGATAACTACGATGTAATACTCCCAAGAAACAATTACCCCCTCGGATCATTGTACGAAGTTGCGTCAATTACCCCCAGGCAACAAATTTTACATACATATACAAAGATTACGCACAAAATAGTCAAAACCAAGCTTGACCGATCCATATCAACTGTCTAGTACGGATCCAATATCAACTTTGGATGCTAAATCTAACTGATATTAAGAGTTAATCAACAAAGTTAGCCATGATGGCATTCCCTTGAAAAGAAAAGAGTTGAGAGATTGAAGGTTAAAAGAGAGTTTAGAAACGAAAGCATCACTTGACGATAAGTTGAGGGATGGAAAATGCAATTTATTTTACTAGTAAAAAAATAGAACAGAGACCTCATCAGTGAGGGAGTGAGACTGCCTCGTGGGCCCAATCAATTCGGAGTCCTTTGTAGCACAACGACGCCAGCACCTCCTCCCGCCCCGCCCCGGCGCCCCCGCATGCATGCCGCCGGCGCCCCGGCTTCCCGCGCTCCTCACCGGCGTCGCCAACCGCGCGACAACCCCAGCGGCGGCGAGGAAGCTGCACGCGCAGCTCCTCCTGCGCGGCCTCCCGCTCCCCGCCCGCGCCGCCGTCACCCTCCTCACCGCATCGTCCTCCTCCCCGCGCCACGCCCGCGCCATCTTCGACAGCGTCCCCGCCGCCACCGCCAACGTCTACCTCTGGACGGCGACCATCTCCGTCTACGCGAAGCACGCCTCCTCCCCCGCGCTCGCCGCCGAGGCGTTCGCTCTGTTCCGGCTCATGCTCCGGTCAGGCCCGCCACCCAATGCCTTCACCGTCAGCTCCGCGCTCAAGTCCCTGTCGACGCTCCGAGGGGTCGACGAGGTGTGGCAGGTGCACGGGTTCTTGGTGAAGGCCGGCCTGGGCTCCTCCGTGCACGTGGGCTCTGCGTTGCTCGATTCGTATGGGAGCCTTGGCCAGGTGAGGGACGCAAGGAGGGTGTTCGACGAAATGCCTGCGAGGAACGTGGTGGTTGGAAACGCCATGGTAGCATGTTATGCCAGAGCAGGGGATGTGGAGGCTGCACGGGAGGTGTTCGACGGTATGGTGGAGAGGGACCCCATCTCCTGGAACACGCTCATGTCAGGGTACCTGCGGCAAGGCAATGCTGGTGTGGCGAGGGGCCTGTTTGATCAGATGCCGCAGAGAAATGTGCACAGCTGGAACATGATGATCACCGCGTGCTCCCAGGCAGGGTCGTGGGCTGACTCGGTAGGGGTGTTCAATCAGATGCGGTTGACGGGTTTCCAGCCGGATGCTGCAACAATGGCCGTGTTGATGTCCGCATGCGCACAGCTAGGTTCCTTGTCAGTTGCAAGGCAAGTGCATGGGCTTCTACACAAGGGCTTTGTTGAGATGAACTGCCATGTGCAGAATTCTTTGATTGACATGTTTGCCAAGTGCGGTTGCATTAGTGAAGCTCGTTTCTTGTTTGGCGAGACACGTCCGAAGGACACAGTCTCTTACAATGTGATGGTGACTGCTCTTGCGCAACATGGGCATGGCAAAGATGCACTGAAGCTTTTCAACGACATGATTGAGGAAGGATGGCGGCCTGATGCAGTGACATTTCTTGGTGTGTTATCAGCTTGCGCCCATGCTGGGCTAGTGGACGATGGAAAGCACTATTTTGAGTCCATGACAACGTACGCAATTCAGAAATCTGCAGATCACTATGCTTGCATGGTGGATCTCTATGGCCGAGCTGGGCTTATTGAAGAAGCGCACTCCTTTGTGAAGGTAATGCCAGTGAAGCCACATGCAGGTGTCTGGGGAGCATTGCTTAGTGCCTGCCGGAAGCATTGCAATGTTTATGTAGGCGAGGTCGCCGCAAGAGAACTCGTCAGGATCGAACCCATGAATGCTGGCAACTACGTTCTCCTTGCAAATACACTAGCTCGAAGCCGGCGATGGGATGCTGTTGAGGATATACGAGGACTGATGAGGGGAAATGCTGTTGAAAAAGATATAGGGCTCAGCTGGGTTGAAGTGGATACCGTTGTTCACGAGTTTTTGACAGGGGATTTCAGCCATCCTAGTTTTAATCAAATTTACAACATTCTGGAGCATCTGTTTTTGCAACCAACCTAAGACTTAAGAATTATCACTTCTTACTGCTAAATTCATTGTACATGGCGACAGGACAACACAACTACCATGAAATATTGAAGTGTATACACGTACTTTAATGAGAAGAGAGGCCTCCGAGAAGCCGAAATGAATGAGCTTAGGGTAGTTCCAATTCACAATGCCTGAAGGATTAAGATCAAGGCTGTCAAGTGTAGTTTCATGGAGGTAGTGTCTCAATGACTGTCTAATTTTATATGGCAGCAGAAATAGTGCAAAACATTAGAGAAACATGCAAACAGTGTTTTGCTCGTCTTTTCATTAAGAGGAGAAGCAAATGTATATATACAAGAGTATAGGTTTGGTCGATGAAGACCCCCACCAAGTACATGTAATCCTTTCATGTTCACGCAACACTGTACAGCAAAAAAAAAAAAAATTAGCCTGTCTCCTGTTGTGGAAAGTCTGATTAAGGTAAGCTATTTACTTTGCGTGCGTTGTGAACAATTTATGTAAGAAAAAGTGCGTAGAAACGTGCATAGAAAAACAGAAGAAACGAGCTTTACTAAATACATAAGCTCATTTCTTTCTTTTTCCTATGCAGTCTTGCTTGTTTTATTTCAATGGGGTGTCACAACTGGCAATGCATCATAAATTCATAATTAAGTCTTATGGACTATTTTCTGAAATTTACATAGCATACATGGTGCTTAAGATTGAAAGCGCAATTTGTGTTGTATATGAGTGTTGTATGTATATATTATGTAGTCCTAGCTTTATTGCCATGATGGTGTCAACTGGTTAGTCTTTTTCTTTGTTTTGATTAGCTTGTGTAACAGAGTGAAAACATCACCAAGTCTCTGTTTTTTGTTAATGTTATCGCAGAATGCAATGTCTTCATGGTCTCTACCATTTCCCCATTCTTCAATAAGTTATAGCAACTTGAACAAATGTGCAATTTTTGTAAAGTAGAAATAAAAATATCACACCATGAGGCTCCCTTTTAGACACCTAAAACCAATGACAGAGCACATATGAGACTGTCACATGTCAATGTGAATTCCATACTGCACGCTGAATCTAAACGAGCCGATGGTTTGAATTTAAATGCCATTTCATGAACAATTTAACATGATGAAGAATCCCTGCAATTAGCATGAGAGGAATATTTGTCTTTCTACCAAAATTTTGGAGAACATTAATGATTCCATCAGAGTTCATAAATAACTGAATCTCCATGTGGTGCTTTTACTGACAAATATATGGATGTTTTGGCCTTTTCTTTCTCGTCATTCTTTTCCCCAGTCTTCTCTTTCTCATCATTCTTTTCCCCAGTCTGGCAGAAACTTGAAGAAGAGAACAGCAAGTTTTTTGAAGGCAAATTATGCAAAGTTGATGCTTAAGATCAAATAATCGCGTTCAACAAGCTCCGTGAGGATCAGTATCATCTTATGAAAGAAAAAAAGAACATCCTTCTGGAGTGCTTTCGGTTACCCCTACTGTTCCTAATGGCCCTGAGTCAAGCACATGTAAGTCTTATTTTTCTTTCTAGCAGCTGTTATACATTTATGTTAACTGGCAGTCCACCAAAGGTATCTCCTAATTTTTTCCAGTGGCAGTTCAGTTAGATTAATGTGAAAGGTGTTACCATTACAGAGCCAATGCAAATTCATTGGTAGGAATGTAGTTATCTCATCTCCAATGATAGTTTGATAAAGATTCTTTTTATTCATCCACTACAGAATACTGATCGAGGTTACTATTTTCGGTTTTTGCCAGTTAACATTCTGTACACCAGGAGTACAGGGCACTAGGCAGGCTCTAAACATACCAATAACTATCACAAAATCAGAACCCAAGTTCTGAACATTACAAACTTGAGACACCTAAGAACCTGGCATACTTCTTTCCTGACTTTGAAGGCCCTACACGATGAAAGCGGCATAAGACACACTGTATCTTTCATAATAGGCTTCATAGCAAAGCTACATCCTCCTTTAACCTTATTGTGCTCACCATTTTCATAGCATGGAACCCACAGATTTAAGTGCTTGATACATAGTTGTAAGTGCAAGCAAAGAAAAGGACATGAAACAACTAAACAAAAGAAGTCTCTTACTCTACATAAAACAAAAGAATCGCGGTTCCTGGATATAATCACCACGTGATAAGATAGGGTACTACAATGCTTAGGCTACATCCTTGCCATAGCCTACATCCTCGCCATAGCCGACTTGACGACATCCAAGATTCTGAAGTAGTGGTAGAACAAAGAAGATTGCTCGCCCTCCAAGCCATCACGGTGGTGCCGGTTGCTCCCGGCAAGATTGTTACATGGGCTGCCCCCAATCACTAAGTCGAAGCCGCCAAATCTACCAACGTATGATGCAATTATATCAGGGGTGAGAGATTTCACGTCAGCAATCTCAATCAGCGTGCCTGTCTGGGTCTGATCCCACCAACCTCTCAAAATCCTCCTATTAGCTTCACCTATCTCAACAGAAACCACTGCCCTCATGTGGATCCCAAGCCTGTGCAAAGCTACCTCTCCTCCTCCAATACCGGTGAATAAGGACAGCACACTAACACCATTAGGAAACATGTCCCTCAACACTGACAAGTGGTAAGCAACAGTATCAACATGGAATGAGTTGCCAAGAGATTTATATCTCTCGGTCTTGCCGACCCCCCTTGTGTGGTCCCTTGGGAAACCAAGTAGATATTCCACCTCATTAGGCTCCAACGGAGCAACCTTGTTTTTTCCAACCCAGACAAGATTCCATTTTCTACACTCATCAATGACATATTTCTGAACACTTGGAGGTGGTGGATTGCTTGACCTTGCAAGAAGACACTGGATCCGCTCTGTCGTCTTTGCACTTGCCATAGTTGTTTGCAAGCAATTGAATTGTCTTCTCGGGTCCCAAGAAGGCCACCACTTCTTATAATGAGGAAATGCCTCAAATATGGTCTTTGGAGGCAGAGGAAGAAGAGGTGATCTGTTCTCAATTGGTAAATTATGGATGTAGCCTCTTTTCCTTGCAGCTGCAGACAAATGCATAGAATCCACAAACTCTGGTTCAATATCATATAGAAATCTTGAAATGGTCTCCCATACACCTCTTGGAGTTCGGGCCACATTTTCATAGTAGAAAAAAGGTGGTCCAATAGCTTGTTGAGGAAGCATTCTCATCACTGATGGCCGCCTATAACCGGGCAGGTTAAATCCAACCATTGGATTTGGGAGAAGCATTTGTTCATCGTCACTACCATCCAAGGAAGATCGATTGCCATGTGCTCCACCTCCATATCGCTTCCTCTTTTTCTTGCGCTCTTCCATCAATCTTGCTTTCTTTCTCTCTCCAAAGGAATCAAAGCATCTATCCATAACCTGCCAAATGTCACAGATTTCAGTGTCCTTGCATCAAATTAAAAGAGTGAAACTGTTATCGTATTCACATGTACATCAAACCATAACGCACCTGATCGTCAAATAAGTTTCTGGAATGGCAATCTCCTGCAACCCATGATGCACTAATCGAATCAACTAATACACAGAGATCAGCATCCACACCTAGGAAAATTGAAACAGGAATTTATATAGCATAAGGTGCCTTTGACATGAAAGAAGGACCGTCAAGGAAACAATTTGAAAATGAGGCATACCACATGTTGTCATAGCCATATTGGCTTCATCTTCAGAAAAGCCCATGCCTACTAATAAGTTGATCTTCTCGTCCTTCGCTGACATCTCCTGTAGAAAATCCTGCACAAAGGTACAACAACAAACTGAGATTAGTGGTGAAACACAGTTATCTGGTCTCTTCATGCTGCTTGCGTGATAGAAAGTTAAAAACTGATGGATGATGATATGTGTGTATTTTCAGGAGAACATGACGATATTCCCATTCCTCCCCATTTCAGGTTCATCGCCTTCCTAGGCAAGATGTTTTTCTGCTGAGCAGGTGCAATACACATCAAACACTACATACTTTTTCCCTGCTTGCTGTTTTCAGTCATTACATATATCTAGCCATGAATGGATTGAACCATACACTATTCTCTTCACTAATTTTATTTGCATAACTTTATGAAAACTGGTTATCACATCATATATTACATGCTGAGAATTCTAAATTAGTGACTTCGTCATACATTTCTAGCAGAATATTTATGGACCAAATCCATCATTTTTCTCGGCTGTAACAGGTAGATGTTGCTCTTCTTGAGGTTGATCTTAGAAGGATATTTGATGCAGTTAGTGTGGTATGTGATGTTCTTTTCCAGTATATGATTGTTTTGTGTAATTGAAAATCAAAAGAAGATTCTTGAACTATGCCATTCTACAGTGAAGAATTCTAAAATCAAGTGTTCAAACTCACAATGCAATTCTACAGCGATGAAAGGCTGGGAGCAAAATAAACAAAGCTCAAACAGAATGTAAAGGAGGTGCTCAAGGTATGCATGGCAGATACTTCCTCCGTTCCAAATTGTAAGATGTTTTGGTAGGCTATAAAATATCATAACAAAACCTCTCATAATTTGAGACGGAGGTAGTATTTCACATATATCAGCATACAAATGGTTTAAAAAGTTCTAGCTACAGAACTAAAGATAAAGAATCATCTACCTCATCACCAGAACTATCAGAGTTGTGCTCTCTACCACCAGTATCATTGTCGTTATCCCAGTTGTCGAAATCAAGATCATCATCATCATCATCTTGAACATTTGGGCAGGCGCAGCCAGAAGTAGAGCAATTACCCAATGCACCTTCATCACCTAGTACCTGCATTTCACATCGCCTCGTAACATAAGATCCTTGCCACCAAGCAGAAAAAGTATCATAAGATAAACTCACTAATAAAGCACATTGACAAATACCTTATATGTGAGAAGTAGCTCTAGCAACGCATTTGCATCATCGTGCCCTGAAAGCAAAAGCCCTGGTTAAAACAGAAGGTGCAAACACAAAGAAGACAAATGAAATGGGACACATTGGTTACTTTTAATATTACCAATCTCCTTAATGCCCTTCACAACCATCTCTTTTGGGAAACCCATCGTCACATATTCCTCGACTAAAGAAGTAGACGTTGCTTCCCCGTTGGCCCACCCGTTAGAACTCTTTAGACAGTTGCGCAAGCAAATATTACACTATGATCATAATAATAACAAGCCATGGGTAGCTCTTATGTTGAAATACACAACCAGCTACTACCTGACGTTCCAGCGTGGATGGGCCAGGAGCATCCAAGTTCCTCAAGGCCGGAGCTGATGAAGGCGCAGCCTCACCATCACTTTCCCACTCAAACTTATCACTATCATCGCTGTCGCTGGTCAAGCCCTGTGACATGAGTTAAACACACCTCGATCAATATTAAAAGCAAACCACAACAAAAGCAATTATAGAGAATAAAACGGCGCAGCAAAATAAGTTTATCGTGTCAGAAGCCCACAACAACCATAAGATATCGCAATTGAAATCTGCAGTGCGGAATCAGTACAACGATTCAGCTCTAGCGTTCAGAACTCATCAAAAAGGAAGGGCAAAAACCTTTCATTTTATTTAAAAAACTCCCCTTCACCACTGTCAAAGCAAAACATCAAGCTAATGCCCAAAAAATAACATTAGTGCAATTAGAAACAGTTTGATTGGCAGTTATGGGGATGCCTGACTAACTGAAGCATGCTAGCTTTCAGATGCCAGGAAGAAGTTTTCTGGACAGTAGAACACTATATGCAAAACAGGGCTAAACAGACTTTATGGGAGGAAAGTGACCAGGTTGGTAAATCTAAAAGGGTGATTAGATTGACCAGATTTGCCCATTATCACCTAATAATAAACTAATAAGCAGTACTGCATGCAGTACAACTTGATGATATGCTTGTATCAAATGGACAAACAACGGTGGTTTGCAGTTCAAATGAAAAGCTCAAATGCATGAGTAGTAGTAAGAAAAGATATGGACCATATAGGTGGATCACTGCAACGTAAACTAAATCCATAGAATTCCTTATTAAAGAGTATCGGCATGTTAAATGCCATGTCTTGTCAGAAGAGTGCCAATGTGTCAGAACAACATACAGTCAGATAATTTGAGTTATGACAAACAATATCTTTTGTGAAGTGTTACATGAGTAGACTTATCTAGAAATGCACCCTCATAATACTACAATTGCAAAGATTTCGAGATATCACTGTGGAGACCATGCCAAAATCAGAAGCAACAAACTTTTTGTCACCATGAGGAAGTGAAAATAGAATGCAAAATGGACTACCTATTTTCAGATAAAATGAATGAACAAAAAAATATGAAGGCAGGGTTGTGTGCAGGGCAGTAACCAAATGCATAGAAAACATCCATTGGCAGAATACACCAGTTGAATTTTCAGCTGCAGGGATGCCTAACTGATGCAGTGCTCTAGCTTTAACAGGTCAGGAAGAGCATCTCTCTTGAGACACATGATCGTTATAGTTTTACACGATATGACAGAATTCCGTGAGAGGCTCGTGACCAGGCTGAATGCATTAGTGGTATTCAGAAATCGGTGTACCCATCGCTGATCGGTTGCCACGACGACACTGCCTCAGGAAGAACTACTGATCTAGAGACATCCAGCTTACAGCTATGTGCAATGGCGCGACACAAGCTGTTGCAGCAGAGCTATAGCAGCAAAGCTAATACACAAATGGCAGCACTGGAATTAGTAACTGCGAAGCGGTACAAGCTTTCCCTCGCAACGACCAATGCGACAGTCAAAATCGCAGGCGTGAAATCAGTACAAATGACTGCAGGATCTAATATTTTTTGAGCAAATGACTGCAGCATCTTATTGGGCATAATCCCCTGATACATGACCAATGTGCGAAAACGCAGACAATGACAAAGAGATTGAGGAAACCAGCCACTGCCATACGGCAGAGCCAAGAATTGTGGTTTTCCGGGGAGAGCATTTAATTTAAGGTCGAGATACAAAATAAATGGTCCACAAAAGAGATCCATGAAATGAGATTACCAGGACATGAGAAAACACTTATAAAAGACTAAGAAACTATTAACAAAATAGTTTTAGCTTTTGATACTGAGATTGATTAGTACATTAACACAAGCTTGATAAATTTCCTACATCATAATATTTGGGCATTGAAATTAGCTATTCCATATTTCTAAATCCCAGTTCTAATTAGTCCCGGGTTCTATACTAATAACATGGAGCAGAGATTAAAAAAGTTCACCAGAATCCAAAAGGAAAAGGGGAGGAATTAGTATCTGCTGCTGCTGATTAGTATCCAGTCAGCTCAACGCGCATTTGCGGGCGCGCAGCTAGGGATTGGGAATTTTGAGACTGGGGCGTGTGGGGAATTTTATTTCCCCTCACAATAGCAGTCCATTAGACGAGTCCAGGCGCATAGTTCCATCCATGCCCTTTGTCTATCTAATCTTCTTCTCCCGTACTACTACTGGTTCACCTGCACATGGAGAAAGCTTCGCTGCCTCCCATGGCGCCACCGTAGGAAGGAGACGGAGCAGACCAGCCTCCGCAATCGCCAGCATTCGCTACATGGCAAAATCAGCACAGTCCTATCCGTCTCCATGGTCTGGAATGCTTCAAGAATATACACGTTCTCGATCCAACAAACCAGAAAACCACCAATATGCAGAAAAAGAATCGCACACCAAGACAGAGTTTGAGAAACGAAGGAATCTTTCAGAGTTTCTAGTCAATGGAAATTTTGCTGACAGTGTGTGCGCAGGGGATTCCGTCCGATAGAAACCCTCGCATACTTCCATTATCCAGAGTACGAAAAACTTCGGACCAACGAGGCCACAAATTGCTAGACAAGAGAGGAAAAAGAGAGAGAGAGCCCACCGCCATTGTTGATGCCAGAAGATCGGCACGCCGGCTCTCACTATCTCCCCGCCGTGAGAGGTGGGAGGAGGAAGAGGAGGACAGCCCGAGGCGGAGGGCGGCGACGGCGTGCTCGTCCGCCCCTCGCTGGCTTTCAAGACGGGGCTAGTGCGGTGCGCCTGCAGGGACGTGTACTTCACACCGGGCGCGCATGGTTTTCTACCAACAGAACGGACACCGGCGAGTACTTTGCGAGCCGTGCTGCTCTGTTTCGACGTGGTGTGCGGCTGCGCACAAAACTGGCCGCACCGTTTTGTGCGCAGCCCAAATCTCAATAAGATAAGTAAAAGAGATGGAAAGATGTGCCACAGCAGTGATGGTGAAGGCGTCGGTGGTGATAATAATTACGCTAGACTAGTCACAGCTGTCCAGCACATAGTTTTAGGCTGGACTTATTTAGATAGCTTTGACCGATGTTTTTATATAAATATGGGCACAAATTAATATTGTATTATTTTTTAGGACTTATATGATTATTGCGTATTTCTATATTTATTTCGATCATCAATCGGGCTGATAATTATGTTGTGTGCGATAAGAGTTATACATTAAGAGCTCATTTTGAATATTCTTTTATTGTTTTAATTTTTTATGGCATCTCATTAATATTCCATTAATGAAATTCAGGATTAAAGTTGGTAAATCTCGCAAGTTTTTTAATAGTATATCAATGTGGTTAATGCAATTACTACTATCTAATTTTGATATTATCTCCCTTTGTAAATAAATGACTTCTAAGAAGCTTGTAGTACAAATTTTCTAATTTTGACTCGTAACATTTGATAGAACCTTAATATAGGGTGGCAGTCGCGCTACATGCTACAAGTGTGACGCGCCAAGCATTAGCATAAGAATCACGGGACGCCCCCTCGAGTATGGTGGTGAAATGGCAGACGCATCAAACGTGAATCGTCCACGCATATTGTGCTCCGTATGGGAGCAAACGAGCAAACATGAGAGTATCTATAGCCGGGCTTGGCAAATTTGATCCCTCAAACATCCGCGGACGTGTCCGGGCGTTTTCACGGACAGTGATCACTCACGTCTTAAATAATTCATTCCACAACCGGATAGCTCAAATTAGAAACCTCAAATTCATACTATTACATGCAGCGTGAACATAATCTTAAGCGGAGCCTGTCCGGCTCCGTCGCGCCCATGTCTGGTGGCCAGCTGCGCTCTTCAGAGTGTTGGTCCTGTCACTGGTGAGGTAGAGTAGGACAAGGGACACGAGTCGGCTCATGAGACTCAAGGCGTTGCCATCTCTCATGCCCTACTCTTTCTCGTCAAAGCCGAGAACCCTAACGGTGCCAGTGGACGTCAGATCAATGATGGATCCGTCCTGGGATGAGCCGACGACATCCACCACAACGTAGTTGTGATGACCAGACTGGTGCACTATATGGGACGCCAGAGAATGCGACTCCATGCCACCGAGTTCGGACGCCAGACGAACTGCACCGCCTCCGGTAAGGCAGCGATGCCGCACCTCATGGTGGTCCATGCGCCATTTGGACGAACGCAATGGATTCCCGATGGAAGGAATCTGAGCGCTGCTGCCGGGCGGCCTCCTCCCGGGAGCAGCAGAGCGCAAGCTGGACGGTCGTCTCCTCCTTGGGGCTGCATGAGATGAGCTCGGGGTGAACGGATCTGAAGGTGTGACTCGGATCTGCTGCCTGCCATGCAGGAGAAGAACGGAGATTGCTAGATGATGGCTCTATATTTTACATATTTTTAGTGCTCATTTGTTGCATGTTCTCTTTATATACCATGTCCCATTGAACCAAATAGATGTCCATTATGCATGATTACCGGTATTTACACTTTTCATTGTGAGCACCGCACATTTAGTACTTTAGTTAGTTTTTATTAGTTTTCTATGTTTTCTTGTGTCTATAGGTGTTTTGGAGCAACATAGGACCAAGCATGATGAAAGAACCAATGAGGGGTTCAATACGTAGACACACATGGGGCAGACTTGCCATCTCAGAGGTCGAAAAAAGTTATTTTTTTAAAGTGCTCCAAATCAAGATCTAAGACCAGAAATGGATCAGCGTCGATCATATGAATCCAACGAGCCCAAGAACGTCAAATTCCGAGTTCGAGTAAAATACGACGTTCCGAACACCCGCACGCGGTCGTTTGACGTGCACACAACTCCGAAAGTTGTCTTTTCAGACAGGATTCTTCACCGATTCCATCCCCATTCGTTACCATGAGTAGCTCGTAAAGAAGAGATTGGGAGAGTATTTGGCTCATTCTGATCCCTTAGATGAAGCACATCAAGAGAGGAGGCTAGGGAGGCTCCTATATATGTCTCCCTCAACCCTAGCTGCCACATCCATCCTCATTCATCAAGAACACATCCAAATTCATCTCCATTGTTGCTCCACCACCACCATAAAGGAAGGGACAAGATCAAGAGGATGAGGAGGAGGCTCC